AGTAGTTACTACTCTGTGTGTGTGTGTGTGTGTGTGTGTGTGTGTGTGTGTGTGTACACACCACATCTTCTTTATCCATTCATCTGTAGATAGACATTTAGGTTGCTTCCATGTCTTGGCTATTGTAAATAGTGCTGCCATAGAGGGTAGGGTATATAGCTCAGTGGTAAAGAGCATGCTTAGCATGCATGACGTCATGGTTTTGATCCCCAGTACCTCCTTTAAATAAATAAATAGATAAATAAAACCTAATTACCTCCCCCCCCCAAAAATTGTGCTGTAATGAACATTGGGGTGCACATATCTTTTCAAGTCAAAGTTTTCTCCAAATGTGTCCAGTAGTGGGATTACTTGATCACATGGTAACTTTAGTTTTTTTTAAGGAATCTCCATATTTTCCACAGGGGCTGCATCAAATTACATTCCCACCAATAGTGTAGGAGGCCTCCCTTTTCTCCACACCCTCTCCAGCATTCCTTGTTTGTGGACTTTTTAATGATGACCATTCTGACCAGTAGTTTTTGTTGTTGTTGTTGTTTATTTAATGGAGGCACTGGGGATTGAACCCAGGACGTCATACATGCTAAGCAGGCGCTCTACCACCGAGCTCGACCCTCCCCTAGCATTGTAGTTTTGATTTGCGTGTCTCTATCAGTCTGTGTCCCAAAAGCAGCAGATTCCAGAGCTCAGCGCACTTGCTTCTCCCTTCCCTTGTCTCCTGTCTTTCTACCATTCTCCTTGTTCCCTGGGCTCTTCACGGTGGCCACCTCCCACCTGGCCTCCTTGCAACTCAGTTACCAAGTTCTGTGGATGCTTCCAAACACTCTTTGCATTTCTATCACCTCTGGCCTCCTTGTGGCCCCTCCTTATATCTCTCCTAATATCGCCTGACTGGTTTCCTAACCTCTGGCGTGAGCATTAGGCTTGAACTTTGAAAAACCCAGAGTTTGTTTTTTTTAAATTGAGGGGTAATTGACATACTATAAAATGGATAGAGGTTAAATGAAGAGTTCTGTGAGTTGTGATAAATGTCGACTTCCAAGTCACCACCTAAATCATTAGGAGCTAGAGTATTTCTCGCCTCCCAAAAATGGAGAAATGGGTGTATTCTTTTTTCCTTTTTTTTTTTAGGGGAGGAGGTAATTAGGTTTACTTATTATTTGAGTGGAGGTACTAGGGATTGAACTTAGTACCTTGTGCTTGCTAGGCAGGCACTCTACCACTGAGCTAACCCCTCCCTCTTATGGATGTATTCTTTGCCCCTCCAGATACTTGTGGTTCATGAAATTTAGCTTGTTGTGAGTTTCATTTCTTGGGAAACCTGACTGCTAGAATAGGATTGTATTTCTGTTTCATTCTTCAGTTAGCAGGAAATAGACACAGGGAGCATGGTCAGTTTCAGATCCTGGCACTGATCCTTCATTCTCCTTTCCTTCTCTCTCAGTGGAAGACAGATGTGGGAGAAACGAGTTCCAGTGCCAAGATGGGAAATGCATCTCCTACAGATGGGTTTGCGACGGGACCACTGAGTGTCAGGATGGCTCCGATGAGTCCCAGGATACGTGCAGTGAGTCCCCTGTGGGCGTGACATGTCTCCTAAACATTTTGAAGACAGCGGGTGACAGATGAGGTGGAAATTGGCTATAGTCATACTGATGTATTCGGCCATGAATTGAGAGTTGGGGAGAGGAGATATTACTGGAACTTTCTTTCCTTTTTTTAATTGAAGTATAGTCGATTTACAATGTTGTGTTAGTTTCTGGTGTACAACACAGTGATTCAATTATATATGTATTCCTTCTCACTTTTTTTCATTATAGAGTATTACAAGATATTGAATATAGTTCCCTGTGCTACACAGTAGGACCTTGTTGTTACTGTGACTTTTAACAGCTCTTTTTAAAAAATTGAGGTGAAATTCACATAACACAAAATTAACCATTTTAAAATGACCAGTTGGTGGGATGGGTGAGGGATAAATTAAGAGTCTGGTATTAACAGATACACACTACTGTATATAAAATAGATAAACAACGAGGACCCATTGTATAGAGCAGGGAACTATAATCAATATTTTATAATAACCTAAAATAGAATAGAATCTGAAAAAGACATATATATACATATATAAAAAACTAAATCACTTGCTATATGCCTGAAACTTACACATTGTTTTGTTTTGGTTTTTTCTTTTTTTTTTAAACATTTTTTATTGAGTTATAGTCATTTTATAATGTGTCTAATTCCAGTGTAGAGCACAATTTTTCAATTATACATGAACATACATATATTCATTGTCACATTCTTTTTTGCTGTGAACTACCACAAGATCTTGTAAATATTTCCCTGTGCTATACAGTATAAACTTGTTTATCTATTCTGTATATGCCTGTCAGTATCTACAAATTTTGAACTCCCAGTCTGTCCCTCCCCACCCTTCTCCCCCTTGGCAACCACAAGTTTGTATTCTATGTCTATGAGTCTGTTTCTGTTTTGTATTTATGTTCTTTTTTTTTTTTTTGTAGATTCCACATATGAGCGACCTCATATGGTATTTTTCTTTCTCTTTCTGGCTTACTTCACTTAGAATGACATTATCCAGGGACATCCAAGTTGCTGCAAATGGCGTTATGTTGTCATTTTTATGGCTGAATACTATTCCATTTTATAAATATATCACATCTTTATCAAGTCATCTGTCGATGGACATTTAGGCCATGAAACTAACACACTGTAAATCAACTATATTTCAGTTTAAAAAAATGCCAAAAAATAAAGCGACCTGTTCAATCGTATTAACACATTCACAGTGCTGTGCAACCACCACCTCTATCTCATTCCAAAACCTTTGCAGCACCTAGCATCTAATTTTTTTTAACAATCTTCATTAAATGTCCTTTATTGTGACCCAGAAAGATGGGCTCCGCAATCCCTTTCAGAGAACTCTGAGTCTTTCCTCTGCAAAGCTGGGACTGGTGAGGCAGATTGGTCTTTCCTCTGGTGCTAAGGCTCAGTCCTGTTTCTTGCACAGTGTCTGTCACCTGCAAAGTGGGGGACTTCAGCTGTGGAGGCCAGGTCAACCGCTGCATTCCTGGATTCTGGAGATGTGACGGGCAGGTGGACTGCGAGAACGGCTCGGATGAGGAAGGCTGTCGTAAGTGGGGTCCCTTGCCTAGCGGCCTCAGGGCCCTGCCCGCATCCAAGTGACCTGACTGGGTTCCAGTCCAAGGTCGGAGTTTGTTCCCTAAGCTGAGGGTTCCTTGAAGAAATAAGGCTGAGAGTTTCAGAGGAGAAGGCACTTTGCAGCTGGTTCTGTCTTGGCTCTTTGATTTTATTAATTATTTCTAATTTCTTTTTCAGTTGTGTAGTTTTTTTTTTAATTAAGTAAGGGTTTAAAAAAAGAAACCCTGGGAAAATTTTAAATAACTATGATCATATCAAATCTTCAAGTTCACAAAATATGAAAACCCCTAAGAGAGTCTTAAAAACAAAAAAGTGTTTACTTACCTTTACCTTAGGAATGTACATGTGACCTTGGTTAGTGATAAAACAACTCCCTGGGGAACATTTTAAAATAAAAGGGATTGGGAAGGGAGGGGATAGCTCAGTGGTAGAGTGTGTGCTTAGCATGCATGAGGTCCTGGGTTCAATCATCAGTGCCTCTGTTAAAAATAAATAAATAAACCTAATTCATTCCCCCCCCAAATTTTTTTTAATTTAAAAAATAAATGGATTGGTGTTCTTTTCCAGGCACTTTTTTTTTCCTTCCAGGTTTGTTGAGATATAATTGATATATAACATCGTGTGAGTTCAGAGTATACAATGTGATGATTTGGTACACATATATATACCTCAGTAGGGTTAGTTAACACCTCCATCACCTCACTCTTTTTTTTTGGCTCTTTAATACTGGCGAATCTGGCAGGTGGGAGCATGAGTGAAATAGGTGAGGGTGATTAATAGGTACCAACTTTCTGCTGTAAAATAAGTAAGTCACAGGGATGTAAGGCACACCATGGAGAATATAGCCGATAATGTTGTAATAACTTTGTATGGTAACACGTGGTAACTAGACTTATAGTGGTGATCATTTTGTAATACATAAAAATATTGAATCACTGTGTTCTGCACCTGAAAATAACATAGCACTGTACGTCAATTATACCTCTAAAAAAATCCAGTATCATCATAAATTTAAAAAAATCAAATAATAACAACAAACTTTTTTGAAGTGTTTCATTTTTTATTTTTTTTAATGAAGGTACTGGCGATTGGACCATGGCGTGGGCTCTACCCCTGAGCTATACCCAGCCCTCAAGAGCAAACTTTTTTCCCCAGCTATTTTTTAAAAATTGAAGTATGGTTAATTTATAATGTGTTAATTTCTGGTGTACAGCAAAGTGATTCGGTTATATATATATTATTTTTGTATTATTTTCCATTTTCCTTAGTTTATTACAAGATATTGAATACAGTACCCTGTGCAAACTTACATAGTGCTTCCTGTGTGCCCAGCCCAACCTGAGAGCTTTCTCCTCAGTCCCACAGCAATGCCTTGAGGCATGAACGGGGAGGAAACCGAGGCACAGAGGGGGCCCAGAAGCTGGGCGGGCGTCTGGCCAGGGCAGTGGTTCCGAGTCTAGGGCGCCTGACCACAACCCCCGAGTCCACTCCCTGGGCTCTGGCCTCTCCCCTGCTCAGGGTCCCCGTCTGTGCAATGGGCTGGTGTCGGGAGGCAGGGGCTCCCCGGTGACCAAGCTGTCATGTCCCATCTGTCCCTGCAGCCCCCAAGACGTGCTCTGAGGACGAGTTCCGCTGCCATGACGGAAAGTGCATCACCCTCAAGTTCGTCTGTGACTCGGACCTGGACTGCCTGGACGGCTCAGACGAGGCATCCTGCCCGCCGCCCACCTGCGGCCCTGCCAGCTTCCAGTGCAACAGCTCCACCTGCATCCCCGAGCTGTGGGCTTGCGACGGTGAACCCGAGTGCGAGGACGGGTCGGACGAGTGGCCAGAGCGCTGCGGGGGCCGCAACACGTCCGCCACCTCAGAGGACAACCACCCCTGCTCGGCCCTCGAGTTCCACTGCCGCAGCGGTGAATGCATCCACTCCAGCTGGCACTGCGACGGTGACCCTGACTGCAAGGACAAGTCTGATGAGGAGAACTGCGGTAGGGGTGCCTGGCGGGGCCCCACAATTGTCCCTGGGCTCCCCCAGGTGGGGCAAAGGGACAGTGCCTTTAGGTGGTTAAACAATTTCCAATCACACAGCAAGAAAGTCAGTCCCATTTCCTGTTTCTTCCAGTCTTTCTGATCACATGGCAGTCAAGCCATCCTCCAAAGGATACTTTTTATTTGTATTTTTTTTTGCAGTATATGATTCTATTCATTCATTCATTCATAACAGAGGTACTGGGGATTGAACCCAGGACATCCTGCACACTAAGCAGGCACTCTACCACTGAGCTGTGCCCACCCCACCATCAGTTAATCTCTTCTGGCCAGGGGAGCAAACTACAGCCTGCAGTATTATTTTGGTCCAGACAGATCCTGGGCTCCTGGCCTGGCTGTGTGACGCTTGGCCAAGGACTTAGCCTCACTGTGCTGGGGTCTCCTCCCCTGTAGGTGAGGCAGTGGTGTTGGCATTCATGGGCTTTGGTTAGAGACCAGTGCCATCCGGTAGAACTTCCCGTGATGCACGAGCGCTAGCCAGTGTGGCTGGTGTCACTGAAGAATGGAATTCTTAGGTTTATTTCATTTTAATTTGTTGAAAGTTAAATAGCCACACATGGTTAGTTTATATCCCCCTACCTGCTGTGTAGACTGTTTTAAAGGTCACCTTTTAAAAACAATTGGAGGGAGGGTATAGCTCAGTGGTAGAGCGCATACTTAGCATGCACGAAGTCCTGGGTTCACTTCTCAGTACCCTCGTTAAAGTAAAATAAGTAAATAAACAAAACTAATTACCTCAAATTTTTTTAAAAATTAGAAAACAAAGTCTTCAGCTGTTTGTATTTTATGTGATCAGGTCTAAAACTGAAGACAAACTCACTGACTCTCCATAACTCATGAGCCTTTAATGCAATGATACACACATAGGTGAAGAACAGGATCCTTCTTTACGTAGGGCTCAGCACAGCCAGTACCCACTTAAAAATAAAGAGCTCTAAAAATTAGCATGTTTTTTAGAAGGTGAAGGGAGGAATCATTCTGCCCATAGATATATCATCGCTTTTCACAGACATCCTGAAGTCAAAATTTCAAATGGTAAACATTTTTATTGTGAAGTATAATAACCCACGGGAAACCTATAAGCATAAATTTGCGTGAAGCAGCAAACCCTGTTTGAGGTCAAGTTCTAGATCATGGCTCGAATTGCCCTATCCCAGTGACCCACATGCATTCTCCAAGATTTCACTGTGATGTCAATGTCATCATGTTCAGGTAGTGTCAGCTCAGAAACAGTTTTTATGTTCGCTTGATTGGCTGTATTACACTCGGTGGTCTTGATCTGATTTATCAGAACGTACCTGGCCGGCCTCTGTCTCGACTGGGATCACACCATTGCTTTTCTGCTGAGAATGGCCTCTCAGGTTGACCTACTTTTTTAATGAAATGTCCTGTTTTGAAACATGCGTAGGACAGACTGGGGAGAAGTCTTAAGAAAACTTAATGGTTGGGTTAGGGTGCTTTCCTACCCACCTTCTTACTTTCCACACTTGGCTCTGCCTTTCCCAGCCGAGGCCACCTGCCGGCCCGACGAGTTCCAGTGCTCGGACGGGGCCTGCATCCACGGCAGCCGGCAGTGCGACAGGGAGTATGACTGTAAGGACCTGAGCGACGAGCTGGGCTGCATCAACGGTGAGCTCCTGGGCTGTGGGGTGGCGTTGGAGCACAAGCCCACTGCATCCCAGACAAGGGGGGAGCCTCCTAGGTCGGCTTCACACCGGCTGTGTGTCCTGCAGCAAGTTACTTGACCTCCCTGAGCCTTACTGCTGCTTATCTGAAAAATGTGCAAAACTAAAGCACCTACTTCAGGGACTGTGAGGTTTCATGAGGTGCCAGAGTACAGAGCTGATGAACTTGAGCTCGGAAATACCTGCACAGGACCGTTCTGTGTAAAGCACTTCCCTGAATTTGCAAGATAGCAGTTCCTGGGAACGATGCCAGGAAAAACTTGCCCCTGGGCCCTGGGAGACAGGCTCGGGACCGTGCAGGGCAGCCCTCTCGTAACAGCAAATCACTGGAAGCAACCCAAATCTTCATCAGCAGTAGAATTAATTTAAAAAAAAATTTTAGTGGGGTAGGGATAAATCAGGAGTTTGGGATTAGCAGATACAAACAACTATATGTAAAATAAACAACAAGGTCCTACTGTACAGCACAGGGAACTATGTTAATATCTTGTGATAAACTGTAATGGAAAAGAATATGAAAAGGAATATATATGTATATGTATACCTGAATCACTGTGCTGTACTAGAAACACATTATAAATCAACTATAATTCAGTTTTTAAAAGATTTAAAAAAATTTTTAATTGTGGTAAAATACATATAAAACTTACCGTCTTAACCATTTTTATGGGTACAGTTCAGTTGTGCTAAGTACATTCACGGGTTGTACAACCATCACCACCATCCATCCCCGGTACTCTTTTCATCTTCCCGAATTGAGACTCTGTCCCCATTAAACACTCAGTCCCCGGCCCCCTCCCCCAGCCCCCAGCACCCACCATCCTACTTTCTGTCTCCAGGAATCTGACTCCTCTAGGGACCTCATGTAAGTGAAACCACACAGTGTTTGTCTTTTGTGACTGGTTTCTTGCATTTAGCATAATGTCTTCAGTGTGCATCTATTTAGTAGCATGTGTTAGAATTTCCTTCTTTTTTAAGGCTGAATAATATTTTATTGTATTGCTGGACCACATTTTGTTTATCCATTCATCTGTCGATGGACACTTGGGTTGCTTCCACCCCTGGGCCATTGTGAACAGTGCTCCTATGAACAGGGGTATATGGAAATAATTTTAAAATGGAGGATGTAGTTGCACAGTGGAATATCATACAGCTGAGAAGATGAGGCCACAGCCCCCAGCTGCAGCACAGGCCAACCTCATAACCTTGGGGTTGGCAGCAAGGAGCAAGTTGCAGGAGGTGACTAGATACAGTTTTTATATAAGGCTCAAAACCAAGCAAAATTCAACAATTTATTACTCATTTATAACTGTTTGATAGAACTATTAATGAAAAAATAAGGAAATGGTAACCCCCAAATTCAGGATCATCATTACTTCTGCTAAGAGGGGTAGTGGGGTGGGACGGCAAAGACCACTGTCATAGGCTAGGTCAGGGCTCCATAAAAGGCCAGATAGTATTTTTGGCTTTTCTGGCCATAGTCTCAGTTATAATTACTCAACTCTGCTATTATAGTGTGAAAACCGCCACTGACTGTATGTAAACCAGTGGGCAGGGCTATGTGCTAATAAAACTTTATTTAAACAAACAGGGAGTGGGCCTGGACTTTCCCAGCCCCTGCCCTTGGTATCATTCTAATTCTTAAGCTAGGTGGAAGCTTCACGGGTGTTCAGTCATTCTTCTGTTTCATTAGCAAATGCATTTGCATCTGCTCTTGCATGAATGAACTGTCATATAATAAAGAGCACTAGGCGGGCTCCTGGTGCCCAGAAGCACCTGACCCTCCTCTGTGGCTCTCGTAGTGACTTTGTGTGAGGGACCCAGCAAGTTCAAGTGCCAGAGCGGCGAGTGCATCTCCCTGGATAAAGTGTGCAACTCGGTCCGGGACTGCCGGGACTGGTCAGATGAGCCCCTCAAGGAGTGCGGTGAGCCCCAGGGTGGGACCCAGGCCCGTGAGTGCTGTGGCTCTGGGGTGAGAGGGACGTGGTGGGGGAGGGGGAATAAGTGGATTGGCCTCTACGCCTCAGTTTTCACAGCCGTAAGTTGGAAGAACAGCTGCCCACGCCTCCCAGGGCTCCTGGGCATCGGCCGATGTGATGCTTGTCGTCTCGGCAGAGCTGTGTAAATATTTTGGACTTTTCGGGCCATACGGCCCCTGTCGCAGCTGTTCAGCTCGGCCGTGTAGCAGGAAAGCAGCCATACAAACGCACATGTGTGCGCATGACTGCTGGGGGCCGAGTTCCCTCCCGGGAAACTTCAGTACAGACACAGAAACTTGAATTTCAAAGAACTCTGATGTGGCATGAAATATCACTTTTCTTTTGATTTTTATTTATTCTTTTCAACTCTTTTGAAATGTCAAAACCAACCTTACCTGTGGGCCAGTGCCAGAGCTGGGAGCGGGCTGGCTTTGGCCGGCGCCCAGTGTAGAGGGTCAGAGCATGGATTCTGGAGCTGAGCGCCCCGGTTTTGAGTTCAGCACTGTGATCCTGGGAAAGTCATTTAACCCGGCCATGCCCCAGTTTCCCCAGCTAGAGTTCCCTTGCCTTTAGGGTTGTAGGGAGGATTAAATGAGTTAATATATGTAGCTATAGTAAGTGGTATGTGGCTTTTGTTAAAAACTTTTTTCTTTTGATTTTTTTTGGCTTTTATTTTTTATAATTAAAAAATTTTTAATTGTGGTAAAATAAACATAATTTACCATCTTAACCATTTTTTAAGTCTACAGTTCAGTTGTGTTAACATTCATTTACATTGTTGTGCAACCATCACCACCATCCATCTCCAGGACTGTTTCATCTTGCAAAACTGAGGCTCTTCCCCATTAGACACTGACCCCCCTCAACTCCCTCCCCCAGCCTCCGTATCCGCAGTCCTACCTTCTGTCTCTATGGATCTGACTCCTCTAGGGACCTCACGGTGGAAGAGTACAGCATTTGTCCTTCTGTGCCCGACTTATTTCACTCACTGTAATGACCTCGTGGTTCATCCATGGCGTCGCATGTGACCATAGCTACCATGGAGCCATGGTACTTCATGAGCCTCAAAGTCTTTGTGGGGATTGTGATGGAGATGGTGAAAGAGCACAGGCTGGCGGGGGAGGGGGCTGGAGGCCGGAGTGTGACCAGTCCCCAACCCCTGTCCGATGCAGGGACCAATGAGTGTCTGGACAACAAGGGCAGCTGCTCCCACATCTGCAATGACCTCAAGATTGGCTACGAGTGCCTGTGTCCTGAGGGCTTCCAGCTGGTGGACAAGCACAGATGTGAAGGTGATTCCTTAGGCCCGATCCTTTCCCTGGATGTTGGTCAAGCCCTCTGCCTCAGTGTTCCCGTCTGTTAAGTGGGTGTGGATGTGGTCCTCCCCTCAGGGCTGATAGCAGGGCTTTAACGAGGTGCCAGGTGCATGGGCCAGCTGTCACAGGCTTGGCCCTTGGGGAGCATGTGCTGTTTGCCTTTTGGGATTCATAATTAAGAAGCAAATCTCAGCCGACATAGCTTTGCCCTGTTGGCTGTACTCTGAGGTGAATGGTGAGGTCAGGGTCATGGTTAGAGACAACACTTAGCTGTTTCCAAGATTTTGTTCCTGAACCTGATAGTCACCAAATCCTCGGCCCTGGAGGTCTTCCCCAGAGGTGGTGGGCTGTCCCCTATTTGCCACTGGGAGGCGTGGCTTCTGGTTGGAGTCCATGGCTCCATCCACGCCCTGTGGGGAAGACACCCCAAATCTCTCTCTGTCCCAACTCACAGATATTGACGAGTGTCAGGATCCCGACGCCTGCAGCCAGATCTGCGTGAACCTGGAGGGCAGCTACAAGTGCCAGTGTGAGGAGGGCTTCCAGCTGGAGCCCCTCACCAAGGCCTGCAAGGCTGTGGGTGAGTGCAGGGAGGCAGCGGGAGGGGCTGGCCTGGCCAAGCAGAAAACAAACGTGGGGGAATTTCATCATCTGAACTTTGCACTGACTGCAATGACCTGGGGGTAGACCATTTGCTCCCTAGACCTCTGGCAGGTGAGCCCCTAGCCCTGTTAGGAATTGGGCTTGCTGCGGGGCTGCCCAAATGTGTCTGGCTTCTCTGAAGACTCAGGTCAATCCCATGTGGGACAGTTTGCAGCCCTCAGTCCTCCCAGGGACTTTAGGGGACAAGAGATGGAAAGCCATGGCCCAAATAGCTCCCACCCACTCCAGCAAAAGGAACTTATACCATAAAGAAAAAAAAAGAAAATCCGTTGAAAAGAGATCAAAATATAATAGTTCATAGTAAGACCACATAGTAGAAATTGTTGAGTGTCTTTTACCTGAAGTTTGGGTTAGCACTGCAACCCTGCACTAATTCTTAGAAGCACCTAAGTCAAGGTGTCCCATGCTTTTGGAGGCATAGCTGTCCTGGTGGGGCTGACAGGTCATCGCAGCATCCTTTGTCTTGTGTCACTTTCTACCCTTGCGGTGTGATTCCAACGAGGGCCACTTTTGCAGAAATATTTTAGAGCTGTTTCCCCAAGGGTCTCTCAGCCTTTAAGCCTTTCTCCCCTGTTGTCGTTTGGATGGCTCTTTGGCCTTGCTCTGTCACATCCCCCTGCGTGAAGCCCTCCAGTCTTTGAGATTTCACTTTCCTCCCATTCTGTAGGGTCAGTGTCTCTACAGATGCCATCCCCGGGGCTGGGATGGTGTCATGGGAAGGGACATTCTGAGCCGGGTCAGTTGCAGAAGGCTCAGTGTGTTGGTGAATATTGGTGTCATGGTCACAGCACAGCCCCCACACTCAGAGTGGCCCTGGTTTAAATCTCAGCTCTGCCACTCAGTAGCTGTGTGACCTTGGCCAAGTTACTCCCCCTCTCTGAGTTTTAATCCTCTCATCTGTAAGCGGGGTTGACGACAGCACCTTCCTCTTAGGAGTGTGAAGATCAAACAGGGAAAGTGGTAGGAAAAGCAGTAAGCAGAATTCTCCACCCTTAGGAATCACTCTGTATACATTTGTCGTTTTTAACCTTTATGTTCTAAAATGTGAAATGCTAGAGTCTAGGCATTTCTAGGTTTTGCTATCACTTAGGCTTTTAGGGTTTAGGTTTTAGGTTTTACTATCGTTCAGCTATGGTGAGGCTGAGACATGAGTGCCATTGAGAAGGCGGTTTGTTATGCACAGATCCCAGGGGAGGAGGCATAGCCCGCCACGGGGGGCCACCCGGGGAAGCACTGAGAACAGTCAGGAGGCAGAAGGAGTGAGGGCAAGAGCCTTTATTGTGGTTTCTGTGAGAAGGAACAGATGAGGTGGGGTAAACAGACTTCAGACTGGCTAGTTTGAATAATTTCAGAGGCTCTGGGGCTGAGGGCTGGCCCTGGTTGCCCAGCACCTGGCCCTGGGGTGACTAGGGCAGGTGGATAGTGGGCCAGAGTGTGAGACCCTATTAAAGGAGCTGGTGGGGGTGTGGGCTGGTTGGTCTGCAGTTGATGTGAGCCGTTTCCCACGTCTAGGAATCAGGAAGCCCTGGGAGGGCCGCCCTCCTGGGTCTGCGTCAGAACCCAGGTGATGGTTCATATATGAGGCGGGTGTCCTAGGTGTCTCTGCTGATTCACCCAGACCCTGCAGGGTGACATCGGGGGCTGGGGTCCCATCCACTGCCCTGAGCACCATTCCTGGCTCCCCAGGCACCATCGCGTACCTTTTCTTCACCAACCGTCACGAGGTGAGGAAGATGACTCTGGACCGCAGTGAGTACACCAGCCTCATCCCCAACTTGAGGAATGTTGTCGCCCTGGACACGGAGGTGGCCAGCAACAGAATCTACTGGTCTGACCTGTCCCACAGGAAGATCTACAGGTGAGCCTGGGCCCTGCGTGCAGCCCCCCAGCGCTTCATGGACTGAAGGCCCCTGGTGCTGACAGTCTTCCTCCTCTGCCTCCCCTCTCAGTGCCCAGATCGACAGAGCCCCCAGCTTCTCCTCCTATGACACTGTCATCGGCGAGGATCTCCAGGCCCCCGACGGGCTGGCGGTAGATTGGATCCACAGCAACATATACTGGACTGACTCCATCCTGGGCACTGTCTCCGTTGCCGACACCAAGGGTATGAAGAGGAAGACGCTATTCCAGGAGAAAGGCTCCAAACCCCGGGCCATCGCGGTGGATCCCGTCCATGGGTGGGTATTCTCAGCAGGTGGGTGGGGTTCACGAACCAGGTTAGGGCTCCAGGTGGCGGAATATTTGAGCTGGCTGGGGGCTGTCCCGAGCCCTGGAATGCTCGTGCTGTCAGAGAGAACAGGGCGGAGAATGTGGGCCTCCCCACCCGCCCTTCGAGGACCCTGAGGGTGGATGCTTGCCACGTGTGCTGTGTCACCTGACGTGGAATCGGATCCTGAAAAGCCCTGCCCGATGGAATAGAATCCAAAATCAGAAATGAAGTACTGATTTAAATTGATAGTAGGAATGAATACTTGTTAGAAATTTAAATTCTGATATCATATTATACGGTAAAGCATCCTACACGAAAACAGAACGAGAGAGATGTAAGAAGCCTCTTGTCCAGCGATAGCCGACTGACCCTCTTTTTTGGTGTGTGGGGAAATTGGGTTTGTTTATGTATTTATTAAGGGAGGTATGGCGATCGAACCCAGGACCTCATAAATGGTAAGCATGAGCTCCACCACTGAGCTATACCCCCCATCCCGCCCCAACTGACCACTTTCGCAAGGGGAGTTGGTAGAAAGCATGGCGTCCGTCCCACATACCTGGCACTTGTCAGACCACACCTGCCCCCACAGCACCTCTCAGCTGGACTCTCACCGCCCCAAGACGGGCAGCCCGTTCTGGCTGCAATCATTAGAGAAAAGGGAACATCTGGCCTCAGGGAGAAAATGTTGGCGAAGGCACACTAGGCTGTGTGATGTCCGTGGCTCAGACTGGACAGACCCCAGGGTGAGGTGGGCCTGGCAGGCGTGCATCTCATCTGCTGGAGGGACACCCAGTCCACCCGACTGCCAGGGGAGAGCCCCTCCCAGACGCTCCACTTAGATACCTGTGCTCACGCCCTCGTGTGCTCTGTTCTTGTTATTTCTTATTCCCCAGTTAGCAGCACACCATGAAACTCCCTCCTCCACATGGCTCTCTCACTTGGCCCATGGGGTTCATTCTCTGCCCAACGGATGGACCGTGATTCATTTAACTGTTATCCAGCACATGGAAATTTAGGTTTTTTCCTCCTACCTCACATAGAGTAGCCATGAGTACCTTTGAACGTGAGTCTTTCACAGTTTATTTGCAGGATAACATTCTAGAAGTTGGATCACTAGGACCGAGTTTATGTGCATAGATAGGGCATCAAATTGTCTTTCCAAAAATCATTGTAAAACTGACCCTCCCACCAGAGTTGCACCCGAGGGCCTGTTTCCCCTACATTCTCACCATCAGGTTTTCCACCTTGGCCATCGTGATGGGGAGGGTGTATTCCACTATAGTTTTAATTTGTATTTGGCTGTTTGTGAGTCAGTCTGAGCATCTCCTCGGAGGTTTAAAGCCCTTGGAGATCCAAAAGAATTAACAACAGGGATGGGAACAGATTATTTGTACACCTGTGGTCACAGCAGCATCATTCACAATAGCCAAGAGGCGGAAGCAATGCCAGTGTCCGTCTGCAGGGGATTCGAGAGACAAAATGTGGTGTGCGCACACAGTGGAACTTTATTCAGCCTTAAAAAGGAATTTGGACTCTCACTACAACTCAGTGTACCTGACAGTATACTAAATGAAGTCAGTCAGTCACAGAAGAGAAATACTGTGTTACTGCTCTTACATGAGGTCCCCAGAGCAGTCAGAGTCGCAGAGACTGGAAGTAAGATGGTGGGGGCCAGGGCTGGGGAGTCAGTGTTTCATGGGGACAGTTTCAGTTTGGGAAGATGAGAAAATTCTGGAGATGGATGGCGGAGGTGATGGTACAACAATGTAAATGCATTTAATGCCACTGAGCTGTGCACTTAACAATGGTTAGACAATAAATTTATGTCTATTTTACCACAGTTATATGTACTTTTTCAAATATATATATTTGAAATTATATATATTTCAAAAATGTATAATTTGAAAAATATATTATTTGAAATATACATATATTTGAAAAGCAAAGCAAAATTACAGAAAATTAAAAAATTATAAATAAAAGCCCTCACAAAACAATGCTCAGGGAGCAGATTTCCAGGCTCTGAAATTGGAATGAAAAACCTCCCTTTGTTGAAGGTCCTAAAATTCTGCTAGGTCGCCCCAGGTTGTGGGCCTGGAGTCAGCACATTCGGAGGAGCAGAAAGAACTGGGGTCCGGGTCTCCCCAGGACTGACTGGGAGTCTAGCCTGGCTGTGTCCGGGGAAAGGGGCTCTTCTGGGCAGGCTGGAGCCTCCTCCCCTGACGTCCTCCCCACTCTCCCACCAGCTTCATGTACTGGACGGACTGGGGAACCCCTGCCAAGATCAAGAAGGGGGGCCTGAATGGCGTGGACATTTACTCGCTGGTGACAGAGGACATCCAGTGGCCCAATGGCATCGCCCTGGGTAAGCTGGTGGGACCGTGGTCCTGGGGGTCAGGCAGTGTCTGCAGAGGAGAGGTGGATCCCTGAGGTTTTCACCCTGGAACTCAGCTGCCCTCCCTCCGCACACCACCTGCAGGTCAGGCTCCCATGGAGGGGCCTAGTCCAAGCGGCTTTTCTGCGCATGCCTCTGCCAGGTCCTTTGCAGGCGCCTTCCTGCAGAGAGCAGGCTGCCTATGCCCCAGGGCCTCCCCCTACCCCGGCACTGTGTGTGACCTCTCTTTGACTCCCACCCCTCACTGCGGTTCTAGATCTTTCTGGTGGCCGCCTCTACTGGGTCGACTCCAAGCTCCACTCCATCTCCAGCATCGATGTCAACGGGGGGAACCGGAGGACCGTCCTGGAAGACAAGAAGAAGCTCGCACATCCCTTCTCCTTGGCCATCTTTGAGGTGAGGGCTGGGGGCGTCCACGCCTGCAGGAATTCACGCCAGGCGCCGCTGACTGAGCGCCGCTGGCACACGGGCGCTCATGCTGCTGGGCCGACACACAGGGCCTAGCCGTTCTAGCCAAGCCTGAGCCAGAAAACTGCCCAGGAACACGAAGAGGTCTTAGACCTGGAAGTATTTCCATCTTCTCACCAAGAGTCTTGAAAGGTCTAAAGCGGCGGTTCTCAATGGGAGGCCATCTCACCGGCCAGAGGACTTCTTGGTTGTCACCAGGTGGGGTGGGGTCACTGCCAGCATCCGGCAGGCAGAGGCCAGGATGCCGCTCAGCATCACCACGAGGGGTTATCTGGCCCTAAAGGCCCCGTGGGGAAACTGAAGAACGTTGCTGTACAGTTGACCCATAACAACGTGGGGTCGGGAGCGCTGACCCTCTGCACGGTGGGAAGTCCGAGTATAACTTGCAGTTGGCCCCCCACATCCACCGTGTGTCGGTATACACGTCCATGGAGTCAACCACCCAGGAACTGTGTCTGACTGTAGCATTTGCTACTGAAAAAGAAAGATCTGTGTATAAGTGGACCCTTGCAGCTCAAACCCATGTTGTCCAAGGGTCAACTGTATTTGCATACCCAGGTTCACGCAGCATGAGTCCCAAAAGCCAAGCAGTGTAAGCTACCCCAGGGCCCAGCAGCAGATGAGCGGATAAACAAAATGTGGTCCATCCACACAACAGCACACTGCTCAGCCTTAACAGGGAAGGGAATTCTGACATGTGCTACAGTATGGATGGACCTTAAGTGCTCAGTGAATAAGCCAGACGCAAAAAGACAAAATACTGCATGATTCTACTCATAGGTGGTCCCCAGAGGAGACAGATTCAGAGACAGGAAGTAGATGGTGGGGCCTGGGGCTGGGGGAGCGGGTGGGGAGTCAGTGTTTCTTGGGGACAGAGTTTCAGTTTGGGGAGACGGGAAAGTTTCAGAGCTGGATGGTTGCACAACAATGTGGAAGTACTTAATGCCACAGAAATGGGCACTTAAAAATGGTCAACATGGTACATTTTACCTTATGTGTATTTTACACAATTAAAAAAAGTTTGAAGAAAAAAATGAAGCTAGCACCTAGCACTGTTTGTTTCCTAGAGAACCCCAGAGCTCTGGGGGTGGGGAGACAGCAGTCTGTGTCCCAGCCCCTTGTCCCCATGTTTGACGGGATCTGTCATCTTCCTTCTTGCCTGTGTAGGATAAAGTATTTTGGACGGATATTATCAACGAAGCCATTTTCAGTGCCAACCGCCTCACAGGCTCAGACATTAATCTGATGGCAGAAAACCTGTTGTCTCCGGAGGACATTGTCCTTTTCCACAACCTCACACAGCCGAGAGGTAAAGATGGGGTGGCCGCCTCCACCTCCACTTCCCTGCCAGTGCTCTGGAGTTTTCTCGAATTTTCTGACCTCGTTCTCACCCTGCCTTCTCACCTCAGGGGTGAACTGGTGTGAGAGGACTGCCCTCCACAACGGTGGCTGCCAGTACCTGTGTCTGCCGGCCCCGCAGATCAACCCACGCTCACCCAAGTTCACCTGTGCCTGCCCCGACGGCCTGCTGCTGGCCAAGGACATGCGGAGCTGCCTCACAGGTGGGGGCACCACCCTTGCCTGTTGGCCCTGCGGCCAGACCTCCCTGAGCCGCTCTTCGCTCCTTTGTCAAGTGGGAGGGCAGGGCCCCAGGAGGAGTTGTCAGGCCACCAGTTTGCCTTTCTCAAGCGCTGGGCGTGTCAGCACTGTGCCTGGACTCAGTACCCCTTTGACGCCCAGTTCTCTCTCGGGTCGAGACTGATTTTAGACCCGGACATTGAGGGGGAAAGTGGCCCCCTTTTAATTCTTCTCATTCTCAGGGAGTCTCCATCTGGGGCCAGTGTATCCGTAACGATTACGAATCTCCTTTTTGAACAACCACATGGAATGTAATAACATAGATATCAGTGGGTTTGTATCTTCACTTCATTTCTTTTCAGGTATTTGTGGCCGAGGGCACTTGCTTCCTATCCATTGTCATCAGCAGCACAGCTATGTGAGGGATGCTCAGGCCACGGGGCACTCAGGAAATGTTTCTTCTTTCAGAGACTGAACCTGCAGTGACCACCCGGGTGTCCTCCACAGTCAGGCCGAGGGTCGGCTCGACAGCCGAGGGGCCGCAGCGCACAGCCAGCCCTGAGCTCACCACGGCCGAGTTGGTGACGATGACCCACCAAGGTAAAGACTGGGACCACCCTGGCCCTGGTTCATCTGGAGGGGACTATAAGCATCTCGGTGAAGAGGCAGCATGGATCTAGTCTTGGTTCCGTGCTAACTGTCTCTGGCATGGCCTGTGCACTTTTGAAGCCTCAGTTTCCCTTCCCATAAAGCGGGGCCAGTAACAGTGCCTGCCCACCTCCCTGTAATAGTGAAGATCACACGGGCTACCGCGTGTGAAGGGCCCGGTCCCAAAGTCCCCAGGTGAGGGGCCTGGGAGTCTGAAATGTGATCAAGGCCCATTGGCTGCCCCAGGTGTCTGCCCAACAGGGCCAGGACTAGTGTGAGGCAGTCAGGCACTCACTCCCTGGGGCAGCATCAAAGGGAGTCACTCAAAAAACCCAAGACGCAAATAGTATTTTAATGCAATATTGAAAAAAAAAATCAAATTGTCGAACTATGTCCGGTGGGGCCAAACACCTGTTCTTGTAAATAAGTCTGCTCGAGGCCGGGGTCCCAATGAGGCAGGATTTTGCAAATGTGCAGTCAGATCCTGTCTTCCTAAAAACTTTGATATTTTGTTCTTTGAGGTGTTGACATTAATTAAAATAATGCATTAAAATGTTACTAATTACTGAGTTTTGGGGGACCCCTTTACATTTTGTGCCTGAGGTGAGTCCCTCGCTCTCCTCTTGTCAGCCTGCCCTCAAAGTCATGATCTACCTCCCCAGTTGGAGGTCAGAGATGGGCTCTGCATTAAGGGCAGGCTGCCATTCTCCGCCTTGTCCAGCAGAGGGCGCCCGACCTGGGTTTTCAGCAGCCCAGAAATGGAGCTCAGCCTTTTCTGGCCAGGGGGGGAATAAAAAGGCACATCAGCAAGTTTCAGACCTTTTTTTGCCCTCAGAGTAGCTGAGTCCTTTGTTCAGCCATAAAGGAGATAAAACAGGAACTACTGTGGTTGAGGGAGGCCTGGAGCCCTTCTCCCTTGGGGACCACTGCTTGAAAAAAACAGTTCCCAGATGGGCCCACCCAGGGCTTCTCGAATTTGGCAGAGGAGCCCTTTTAAGGGAAGAATTTCTCAAGGACACTGCTGCTGCTGCCGTAAATTGTTTTTGTTACAAGATTTCTTAAAGATGCGCAAAGGTAAAACTGGGTATAAACTCCAGGCACGGACGCGTGACCGCCAGCCGGTAGAAGGAAAGCCCAGGGGAGATTTGAGTATAACTGACGAGCCAGGCATGCTCACTGGTGACGTGCGGCCGGGACGTGGCCTGTGCGTCTTCCCAGCCCACGAGCCTGTTTGGAGGCCTTGAAACTGTCACTCGCATAGGCCCTCATGTCCCGCCCAGGTGCACACACATGGTTACATAATGAGGTCTCCCTCCCCCAGTATTTCTTATCATCGGGGGACAGTTGATGGAGGACTATGGGGCTTTGGTGTGACCCAACCCAGGCACTGGAATTGCTGAGCATTGCAAGGACAGAAGGTGGCCCCTGCCCCATCCAGAACAGGCTCCTTGTCATCAAATGCAGATGCAGGTTGAAAAATTCCACCAGTGACCTCGCCTGCCCTAGGAGTGTATCTGCAGGATTGACTTAAGTCTCAGAGACCAGTGGCCCCTTCTCCAGTGCCTTGTAACTCGAGGCTAAAGGACCCTCTTAAATACGCACCGAATCCCATAACCCCGATTACTAACAAGTAAGACCCCAGTAGAAGTCAGCCTGGCACCTCAAACCTGAGAGATCAAGCTCAGGTTCCTTTGAACTTCTGGGGACACTGAGAAGTGGCGGGGGTTCCCTTTGCTTGTGCTGCGACATGACACCTGTGTTTTCCTGCCCCTCACTTTCTCTCTTGTCCTGCACAGCCCTGGGCAACGCTGCTGGCCAACTGGACGAGGAGAGGCCCCGGAGCACAGGGGCCCTGTACATCGTCCTCCCCATTGGTGAGTGTGCGCCCCCCGCCCCTGTATGTTCCCCACTTCCTGCAAAATGACCTCCCTCTCCAGCAAGCTTTCGTGTCCACACACCTCCAGGAATGGGGTGGCCCTGCTGCATGTCCCGTTTATCACTGGGCCTCCCTTCCTAGCTGCTTTCACTTAACAAATAAAGTTGAGCACCTACTGTATACCAAGGCCACTTCCGGGCTCTGGGGACAACAGCCATGAGAGGAATAAACGCCCCCCCACCCCAGCTGACAGGATAGCTGATGTGTCACATGGGGGAAGTGGGCTGGGCCAGGGCCCTCTGTGTGAGTGACAGGCAGTCTCACTGACACACAAGAGATGGGAGCCTCCTGGTGAGCGCTCCTCTTGCAGGGGGAGTTTAGAGAGCTCTGCTTTCCTGCCTTCACCCATCGGTCATGGCTCAGTTAGCATCACATCCATTTTTCTCCTTCTCTGAGGAAATCCAGAGACCAGAGATATAGGTGCCCAACAGTTGTCCAGCTGTGGGTTGGCAGGCTTGGCAAGTGGGACCCTCACCTCCCTTGGGGCCGCCCAAGGGTGACACCCACTCCCTCCCTGGGCATCTTCCCAGCTGAGCCTGAGTCTCTCCCGCCCTCTGGGCACTGGCCGGAATCTTTTACGCTCCCGGGCTGGGTGAGCCCTTGGCTGTCCCCTGGATCCTGGGGATGAGGTAGGGAGGGGAGAGGGACCATCACCCCAAGGCCCACCATAAATGATGCAAAGAGAGATCCAGCCCCACCTGCCTTCAAATAGAAGTAGAGAGTGCATTGTGTCTCCATATGTAGAGGACAGTCCCATTTCTGAAGAAGTAGTAGCTCACATGACTAATCACAGAACAAACCTGGAAGAACTGACAATAGTTGGGTGTTTGGTGGGGGGGGCGCTAAGGCACTCACAGTGGTCCTTAAGCTAGAGATGTGTTATGTTCATAGATTATTTTTTACAACGGGCAAGTACTGCTTTAAATGCAAAGCATTAAAAACAAATACACTTGGGAGGGTATAACTCAGTGGTGGGGTGCATGCTTAGCATGCACGAGATCCTAGGTTCATTCCCCCCAAAAACCCCAAAAAACCAAGATGCTTACAAGTCAAAAGGCAGAGCAGCCCGTGACGGTACGCCTCCCCCGCAGCACTGCTCATCCTCCTGTGCTTCGGGACCTTCCTCCTCTGGAAGAACTGGAGGCTTAGGAACATCAACAGCATCAACTTTGACAACCCTGTGTACCAGAAGACCACGGAGGACGAGGTCCACATCTGCCGCAGCCAGGACGGCTACACCTACCCCTCGGTGAGCCGCGCGTGCTCGGGACCCTGCAGGGCACAGGGTTTTATGTGTCCATCCTGCCTCCTAGGGGCCCAGCCCTCCCCAGACAGCAGGCGTTCTCACAGTAGGGGGACGGGGACAGAGGATAAGTAAAGGGATCACAGGAAGGGGGACAGAGTGGCCTGTGGGGGTGAGGGGGAGGGGATGCAGCTTCAGGTGAGGCAGTTACGCAGGCTTCCCTGAGCAGGGAGTGCATGGTGTGCAGAAGGCACAGCCTGTGCGAAGGTATATTTGAGGAGCTCAGGGGCCGCCAGTGTGGCCTGAGTGGAGCGAGCTGGGGAGAGTGGGAGGACAGGGGGCAGATGGGGCAGGAGTCTGGGCCACCGCCAGGACTTTGCTCTGAGTGAGGTGGGAGCCGTGGAGGGATGGGACCAGACTCGGGTGCTCACAGGTGCCCCTGGGCGGCTGTGGTGGGGAGAGACCGGGGCCAGGGCCGAGCCAGAGACCAGGGTGGAGCAGACTGTGATGGTCCAGGCAGGAGATGAGGGGGACTGGCCTGGGGGGCTGACAGGGAGTGAGGCGTAGGTGGCCTCTGGCCATGTTTACTAGAGGTTGGACTGATCGTTTCCGGTGTTTATCGTTTTGCTGACAGAGACAGATGGTCAGCCTCGAGGATGATGTGGCGTGAGCTGCGCCTCAAGTCCCGTGCCTCCCCGGAACCTGCCGCCTGTCACTCACATGCAGGAAGGACACTTTCTCCCTGGACCCCGACCTGCCCCAAAACCCTTCCTGAGACCTTGGCGCCAAAAGCACTGCTGGTGGCTGTGGCCCCGGCATTGTCTGCCTGTCCGCCAGAGCTCTGTTTTATATATTTATTTGTCTGGGAGGCAGACAGGCTTCCGACGGCGCACACGGGTTTGGGTTGCTTTTTTCTTTCGTTACATGTGAAGGAGAAGAGAAGGAGGGCGGGCCAGCTGGGGGACAGTTCCTTCTCTCCTCCTTGACGGGCTCCTCCCGAGGGACACGGAGCAGGAGAAACCTAGTGGCTTTGCACGCTTGAGAGCGGGTGCGACCCACACCTCCGGCCCGAGCCCCACACTCAGGACTGAACGTGTTTACCTCTGCCTGGCGAGCCTGGCTGGACCGCCAGGGCGGCTCTTGCTCTGCCACCCCCAGGTCAGGATCAAACTAGGGTCTTCCAAGCCGGATCTGCCCTCCCCTCAAGCTGGGGAGGGGCCCCTGGTGTTGGTATTGACACAGCAGGATCCGGCCTCAGGGGGTGGTGCCTGCTGAACCCCATTCGCTCACCAAGACCCAGCCATTCCCAGGGAAAGCCTGAGCCACCGGTCCCCCGTAATGTGTATTAAGTGCCTGAGACACCCCACCTTGTGCGAGAAGCGGCTCTGTTCTCTGTGTCCCTTGGTCCCAGTGCGGGTGTCTGGACCGCAGCCTCGCCCCTTGCACTTTTTCAGTTCAGGGTTATATGTTGTGTAAAGTCGACACTATTACTGTTTTGCACTGCTTTCTGTTCCCGTTGGTTCAGGTTCCCAGGCCGGAGAGCCCAGGTGGATGTCTGGCTGTGGCAGGAGACGTACTGTGTGCGGAAGAAAGGGGGTCGGCTTGATTGCGACTTCAAAGCCGAGCTCGCTACTGGTGTTTCCACTTCTATGCAGATGCCCCCGAGCCATTAATTTCCCTCACAAGCCAGTTGTGGTTGGCGGGGGTTGGGGGGCTCGGTCTGAAACAACATGAATGGCGGGTCCACCCTGTAAGACGTGCCCTGGGCGCCCACATTTTGTGGGACTTACTAAACAAGAATGCTTTCTGAAATTGACGCACGTGTCGCCACATTTACAACCAGACAGCCAGGGAGATGTCTGAGGGGTCTGCCTGCCTGCTGCACAACCGCAGAACACCGCACCCCGCCCTGCAGGAGACTGTGAACACCTTCTCTCTTTCTGAAGCATGTAAATAACCCCCCGACAGCCAATGGGGGCTTTTTTATGTTTGCACTTTGTATATTTGTTGAAACATTTATCACTTATATATATATATATGAAAAGAGATCTATTTATTTTTGCAAACCCTGGTTTGCTGCATCGAGGGAAACTGTCTCTGAGACGCCTCGCCTTTCTGTACAAAGATGTGCACATGCTGTGCACAGCGCTCTCTTCAGGAAAATCAGGCCTGTGTTGTATATATGGGTTGCTTTTCAGGGATGGGTATCGCTTTTTAAACCACTGTATAGAATGTTTTTTATAGCTTGAACATCTTACTGTGATTGATTAAATTTCTTAAATACAGTGTCTGGCTAAACTGAACCGCTTTCTTCTGGTTTCCTCCATTATTGGTGGACCAGACTCCCTGGGAGACGGATCTGGAAAGAGAACATTTCCCCAGAGCCCTGAGCCGGGGTTTTGCTAAATTTCCTGCTTGTTCATTCATTCAGCAAGCATTTATTGGGCGCCTGTTGTGCGCCAGGTCCTGTTCCAGGTGTGTGGGATCCTGCAGTGAATAAAAGTCCCCTTCCTCAAGGGGGGACACTTTAGAAGGGAAAATGGATATCCCAAAAGAATTTTTTAGAAGAATATTAAACAGGATGATGGGACAGAGAAGTGATTGGCAGGGGGCTCTTTTATTTCTGGGGAGTATCAGGGAAGGATTGCCAAGGAGGTGACATCTGAGCTGAGCCCAGGAGAGTAAGAACTGGCCGTGTGAGGATCTGGGAGGAAAGAGTGACGGGCCGAGATCCCCTCACTGGGCTCCATCAACACAAAGTGATGTTTCTGAAGGACCCTGCCCTTCGGAGCCCCTGCAGCGGTTGGCATGAGGACCTCTTAAGCAACAAGACAAAGGACTGAACTGAAACTATTAAATTCACTGCTAAGATATAGAAAATAGATTTCACAACACAAAGCCAAACAATCTTAAGTTTGGCCGAATTTGGCTTCATTGTGGTAACATTTGGCCAAGTACGTGGGCTGTAGTCCACCTGCACCCCCTTTCTCTTGTGCACCCCAGCTTTGCCTGAGCCTGGGCCTTGAGGGCATTTCAGACCCCTAGCTTAGGGCTTGGCAGTCGAACCACAAATCGTACTGGCATGTCAGCTGGGGTGCAGTCAGGAACACAGCAGGTCACTGGATAGAAACAAACATAGAGGAAAACACAGGCAGAACACCCTTGGACATAAATCACAGCAATATAGTTTTTCAACCAGCTCCTGAAGTAATGGAAATAAAAGCAAAAATAAACAAATGGGATCTAATTAAAAGCTTTTGCAGAGCTAAGGATACCATCAACAAAATGAAAAGACAACTTACAGAATGGGAGAAAGTATTTGCAAATGATGCAACCAACAAGGGATTAATTTCCAAAATATACAAACAGCTCACGCATCTTAATAGCAAAAAAACAAGCAGTCCAATAAAAAAACAGGCAGAAGACCTAAACAGATATTTCCCCAAAGAAGGCAAACAGATGGCCAACAAGTACGTGAAAAGATCCTCAGCATCACTAATTGTTAGAGAAATACAAATCAAAACCACAATGAGACATCTCCTCACACCAGCCAGAATGGCCACCATTAAAAAGTCCACAGATGACACATGCAGGAGAGGGTGTGGAAAAAAGGAACCCTCCCTACACTGTTGGTGGGAATGTAAATTGGTGCAGCCACTATGGAGGATAGTATGGAGATTCCTTAGAAAACTAAAAATAGATTTACCATTTGGTCCAGCAATCTCACTCCTGGGCGTATGTCTGAAGAAAAATACAATTCAAAAGGACACATGCACCCCAATATTCATAGCAGCACTATTTACAACAGCCAAGACATTGAAACAACCCAAATGTCCATCAACAGATGACTGGATAAAGAAAACACACACACACACACGACTACTACTCAATCATAAAAAAGAAAGAATCAAATAATGCCATTTGCAGCAACATGGATGGACCTGGAGATTGTCATTCTAAGTAAAATAAGCCAGAAAGAGAAAGAAAAATACCATTTGATATTGCTTATATGTGAAATCTAAAAAAGACACAAATGAACTACTTATTATTTATAACTTAGATGGCTGATTTCTTTTTTTTTAACATTTTTTATTGAGTTACAGTCATTTTACATGGCTGATTTCTTGAATATGTGTAAGCACATTTGACTGTCCTTTATGATTGGATTACTGCATTCTGTTGATTCTTATTTTGTGGTTGGCTTTATTTCTTTGGTAACTATTTAAGTTTAAAAAGTTAAATCTCTAAACTGTTCTTAGAAACAATGAACAGTACATACATGTAAATTTTAAATGGTTTTCTCTCTCAAAAAAATAAAAGAAAAAGAAAAAAAAACTTAATACAGGGACCTAAGCATAAAAGACCAAATGTGGCAAACCATAACGAGATGCTACCTTACACCCATTAGGATGGCTGTAATGAAAAACAAAAAACAGAAGATAAGTGTAGGCGAGGATGAGAAACTGGCAACTTGGAATGATGCAGGCACTGTGGAAAACAGTATGGCGGTTCCGCAAAAAATTAAAAACAGTACCTCAAGACATTTTTAAAATTAAAAATAGAACTACCATGGGATCCAGCAAGTCCACTTTTGGGTATATACGCACAGAAGAACTGAAATCAGGGACTACAGATATTTGCACCCCCGTGTTCATAGCAGTATTATTCATAATAGCCAAAAGGAGGAAACAACCCTTGTCCGTCAGCAGGTGAATCTATAAACAAAGTGTGTGTGTGTACACACACATACACACACACACGGAATATTATTCAGCCAATAAAAGGAAGGAAATCCTGACACATGCTATGACATGGATGGATATCAATGACATTGTGCTAAGTGAAACCAGCCAGTTACAAAAAGATGAATACTGTATGATTCCACTTATAGGAGGTCCCGAGTACCATCAAATTCCTAGAGATGGAAAGTAGGACGGTGGGTGCCAGGGGCTGGGGGAGGGGGAGGGGGAGGGGGAGTTGGTGCTGAGCCCAGACTTGCAGTTCTGCAAGACCAAAGAGCTGGATAGATGGGGGTGATGGCCGCACAACAATATGAATGTGTTTAATGCCACCTGACTGCACACTGAAACACGGTTAAGATGGTAAAGTTTATTGACCATAATAGAAAATAATGCTAAATAATAATAATTTTTTAAAAAAGGCCAAGTGAGGGACTATGAAGTATCCAGAAGAACAGCAGAGGAAGGGGTGGCTTTACTGGAGCCTGGGAGCTGTGGGAGCCTGGGAGGAGACCCGTCAAGAGCAGAGAGCGAAGAGAAAAACTCCGGCTTCCCCCGTCTTCCAGGCCCCCCTCCCGCCAGCGCCCCCCATAGGCTGAACTCAGCAGGACCTGGGAAACGGGGTCCCTGCCTTACAGGCTGGACTGAGGGAGGGCAGGGGGTATCCAGGAGCAGGGGACCCGGAGTGTCAGGGCAGCAGGTGGGAAAGAACACCCGCTGGTTCAGGCTGCCTGTGCTGAGTTGAGTGACCTTGGGCCCATCAGAGCCTCAGTTTCCCCAACAGAAAATGAGGCCAAAGCTGATCCCCCCAACACTGTGGGCTCCGTGGGCGTTGGGCGCTGTGGTCACTGTTATCTTCCCTGTGTCCACAGGGTGGCACTTCCTTCCTTCCTTCCGCCTTTTGTCTTGGGAAGGTTCCAAAACGCCTCTGGGGGCGAAAGCTGAGCAGACCGCACAGGAAGTGGCCGGGGCTGGCTCGATAATTGGTTGATTGACTGACTCCATGCTCAGCCGTGTGGCTAACGGGACAAATGAGCCTGAATGGCCGGGCACACGGGAGGGGCCTGGAGGTGGCTGAGGGCGCCCAGGGGAGGGTGGGCAGGACTGGGGGTGGTCCCTGGGCTGAGGGAGTGCCTGGGAGAGGCTGGAGGTGATGGAAATTTCTGGTCTCTGGCCTGGGCAGTTTTCTGTGAAGGGAGTAAGTAGTTCTTGAAATTCTTCCTCAGGCGCCCCCACGTCGGCACTGAGTATGACACAGACACGCGGGATGAGAGCTTTGGGACAAATAAGAGCAAATGCTACTTGGGGATTAACTCTTCTGGTCCTCGAGGTGGCCGCCTAAGGAGGGGGCAGGCCCAGAGCCATTTCACAGATGGGCAAGGGGAGACTGGGGTCACTGGCTCAGCTCCTTCGGCTCCTGATGAGACCCTGACGCCCTCCCTTTGCGTTTCTCCACCAGCAGCCCGAGGGGTGGAGGGGGTGTGACGTCTCTGGACTCACACGGGGTCCCCTAGGGAAGGGTGTGGATGTCACCTGGGTAAGATGCACCAGGCAGCTGGCCGGCCACTTGGAGCTAGTCTGTGGGCTCGGCACTCCCAGAGGGATGGGGGGCAGATTGGAGTTTGGGGGCTGCCATCCCCAAGGACAAGGCGAGGGCAGGCAGCCCTGAGAGCCCCCTCTCCGCGGGCTGGACAGCTCTGGCCTGGACCGGCTGGGTGGTGGGAGGAAGCTGCTCCCCCAAGCCTGACGCCCTAACTCGTGTCCTCTGCTGCCTCCCGCTCCGGCCCCCACCCCGGCATCCGAAACCACAGCTGCCTGTGGTGAGTCAGGCTGGAGCCTGAGGGGCTGAGCCCAGGTCCCAGGGAGGGAAGGAAGGAGGGGGGAGGGGTGTTCCCAATGCTGGTCCCTCCCCCACAGTGGGGGTCAGTGCCCTCCTGCTCCCCCAGGAAGTGACTTCCCTCAATGATGAAGGGAGGAGAGAGCCGGCTAAGTGTTGTGAGTATGCGCACTGGTCACGTCACCCACCCCACTGAGCAGGGCCGTGAATTGGGGGGGAGTGGAGGCCGGTCAGGGAACAGCCCCCAGGACTCCTGGGTCCAGTCCAGCCTCCCCTCCAGGCAGCTCAGGTTTCAGCACTGATTTCTGCCCTCAGTGGAGGGGCTCCACCCTCCCCAGCACAGCTGCTCTGCTTACCCCTGCCTCCGCTCCCACACTTGCGCCAGGGATGGAGGCAGGGAGCTTGGGGGTTGACAATGAGACCAGCCCCCTAATCGGCTGGCCTTCTGCACCATGACCTGTGTCAAGAGACCAACATCAGGCTCCTCTTTCCCAAGCCCCAACTCTGGGCCCCTCCTGGAATCTGAAAATCCTCCCTGTGCCTCACTTGTGGACTGCAGGCCTGGCGTGATCCAGCCCCATGGCTGCATGGTTCCCTCAACCCTGGCCTCTTTGCTGTCCCTGAACACCCGCCTTTGCACTTGCTGTTCCTTCTGCATGGATCACTGTCTCCACACTTTTGTTCCCTAGGAGCTCAGGTCTGTCTGGGCTCAAATGACTCCTCCTCCCCTGAAACAGTGACAGCTATACACTAACTGAGATGAACTCAATCGTAGGTCGGGGTTAAGAGCACAAGCTGTGGATCTTCATTAGCTGCGAAAACTTCCACAAATAGCTTGCTGTCTCTGTGGCTCAGTTTCGTCACCTGTAAGGACACACGGAGCCAGCACAGCACCTGCTCAAGACCTCCACTGGAGTGTGGCTTCCTGGAAGGGGGCCTGGCAGTTCACAGAAGCCCAGGGTACACTTTTGACTCAGTTGGGGAGGCCACCAGGAGGTCCTGGGGCCTCCCTGAGGGTGAACCAAATACCATAGTGTCAATGCCCTGGGGCCAGTCCTCCCAGCCTTGGCCCACCAAGCTTTATGGGGGTCCAGCTTCTCGACCCCACATACCCTTGGCAATATCCCCCAGGAACACCAATTATAAGCCAGGTTGGGTGGGTATGTGGATATCTGACCCACAATCACTGATCAGTAGTGACTTTAAGCGTCTAGACCTCAACCTGCTCCACTGCCCCATAGGGCTCCACTTTCTAGCTGGGTGACCTTGGATGAGGGGCAGGCACTTAGGCCATTTCTCATCTGAAAAGCCACAATGTTCCTCCAGAGACCCTGGGGCCCCACTGCCAGGTTCAGCTTCCCAGGGTGTCACTATCCTGTGACCATGCTGTGCCTCAGTTTCCCCACCTGTAAAATGGATACTACTGACCAACTTGGGATGGCGCTGGCCTGAGGAGGTGGAGGAGGAGGAACGAGGTGGGGTGTGGCGTCAAGTCAGTTCTGCGGGCACACGGCTCCAGTTCCCCACTCCCTGGTCTGGGGACTCATCCTGCTCCCACCTCCATGGGGCTTGGCCAGGGGCTCAGTGTGTCTCTGGCTGGCCTCCAAAATTCGGGAAAGAGCTGGTGGCTGCCAATGTGCCGGCTCTCAGAGGGAGAACGGGCAGGGGGAAGGCAGGGTGTGGGCTGGAGGCCGTGGGCCGAGGCTGTCCGGGCGTCCGGCCAGCACCAGGCAGTGAGTCAGGGCCCAGGCATGCGGAGGGCCAGGGCCTCTCCCGGCCCCTGTGAGCTCAGGCACCTCCCTGAGCCTGCCTGCCGAGGCCCCACGGGGCTGCGTTCCTCACCCACTTGCTCACTCCCTGGGCCTGTCATGGGGGCTGCTTGGGGAGACAGGGACACAGGAGCCTGGGTTCATGCAGCCTCCCTCAAGTGACCTTCCTCTTCTTGGGGAAACAGCTCTAGGCAGGCAACGCCTCTTGGGCCCCTCCCAGAACAAAGTGGGGTGCCTGCTTGGGTTGGGAAGCCGGCCCAGGGCACAGATAAGTGCGCCTGCCCCCCAGCACCTGCATTCTCTCCCAGGACCCTATGCCCGTAAGTCTGTTTAACTACAGGGAAACAAGTCTCTCCACTCCCAGTCCCCCAGGACCCGTGGCTGGGCTGGATCTACTCAGGGCGGGAGGCCTCCTGGCACCTTCACTCATGCAGGGGAACAGGTGCAGTCCAGCTGTGTCAGCAGGAACAGCCACCAGGGTGACAGCGGCTCCTTCCCTGGCCTTGGCTGAAGACTGGTTCCTGGCTGAGGCTGCAAGTCCTGAGTGGTCCCCCAGGGCTGTCACAACAGGGGTGAGCTCCTGACATCTGGAGGGCGGAGGCAGGGGTGATGCCACCTGTCCCACCATGTCCAGGACAGCCCCCTCCGGAGAGAGTGACCTGGTCCCAGGCTGAGGCAGGAAAACCCTGGTCCAGGTCCAGTCTTTCGCCCTTCGGAGGCCAAGGGTACAAATGAAGGGCTCTGCTTCTTTTTTACATCATAAAAAACTCCGCCAACTTTGAAAGTGAAAACAGCCCAGGAGGGCTTATGTGAACATTTCCTTGAGTATCTAAAGCCAGGCCCTCGGCACGAAGGCAGGGCCTCTGAAGTTCTTCTGGGAATCTTTCTCTGTGAGCTGAGTGGCCTGGGGTTTCTTACATTTCAGGGAAACCAACAACCCCCTTTTTTGGGTCTATTTCCTGGAGCCCGACAGGTAGGACTCCTTGACCTAGTCCTCCGAGGGTCACCGGAAGGGACTGTTTTTAGTGCCCACTTAATGTACTCAGGTGCTGCTAGAACTTAATGTTACCTCTGCCTAGAGTGTTCCTCTCTGATTAAGAAATACTCATTGTACGTATTGTAAACAATTAAGTCATACAGGGGTGCACAAAACCCAGAGGTTCATGTAACTAACAAATCTACTGGCTTCAGGCAAAGCTGTATCCAGGAGGTACCTGATATCAAAGCGACCCTTCTCACTCTCTACCCCCAGGCAGGCTGGCAGACAAGCTCCCCACTCTTAGTAGTACCTCAGTCACTGAGGATGGGGGTTAGGTGAGCACACTGATTGGCTAGCTCAGGCCTGGGCTGCATGCTGAATCAGTTAGGATTTACTTTAGCTGTTTGTGATAGAAAAACCAAAGTAACAATCCCTCACCCCCAAAGTCCAGGATAGTTACCTGGCTCCATCATCAGGGAATCAAGCTCCTATCATACCTAGAGGATTGCAGCCTTCAAGCGTGGCAACATAGCTGCCAGGGCTCCAGCCACCACATTCAAATTCCAGAAGACAGAGGGGAGGGGAAAGGGTACATGCCCTTGCCTTTTAAGGATCTTCCTACAAGTCTCACACAACACTTCCTTTTATACTTCACTGTCCGAAACTTAGCTGCAAGGGAGGCTGGGAAATGTTGTGTTTTGACCTGGCAGCTAAAAGGATTCCCTTACTAAGGGTGCAGGGGAGAATGGCTACTAGGGAGGCAACCAGTGGTCTCTGACACACAGCCCATCCTGGAGCAGGGATGGGTCCATGTACATCCCATAATGTAATCTCTTCACGATTGACTCATCCCTTCAAGTTTCAGCACAAACGCTGCCCCCATCCTCTGGGAAGCAGACCCCCTCCCCAGCCAGGGCCCCACAGCACTGTGGACTCTCTCTAGCTCAAGGGTGGCATCTGATCACTTTTGACTCCTCCCCTGGCTGAAGGGATCTGTCACCTTCATCTTGTCTTGGGTACCCAGCACAGTTCTGGGCACACATTGGCACTCAGAGTGGGAACTCGGAATGAATAAGAACCAAACTTGAATAACAGATGACAAAGACCTGGAATTTGTCATCGGATACTGCAGTGCCATTTGCACGTGTGGTCAAGATGTGAAGTCACAGGCCTTATATGGTTCAGTCAGTCTCTGATTACCTAGCCAAGGCCAGTCTAGCATCTGAGGCCAAAAATCAAGATGGGGGAAAGGGAAGTCCAGTAAAAAAAAAAAAAAAAAAAGTCATTTATGTGTAAACATTTAATTTTAAGCTGATCTCACCACTGAGGCACTGACCACCCACCACGGCTGACTCTCACTGTGTGGGATTATAAGACACAGTCCAAGAGGCTTCTCTCTACCACTCCGTGTCCACCAAGCTCCAGAGATAGTCGCTGATGAATTTCTTGGACAGCTGGGTGCTGTCCAGGTGGATGGGCTGGGCGACGCTGGGGCCGTGATGTACTTAGGGCATGATGTAAGGAAACCTGGCACACACAGCCCTCCCCCTCGACAAAAGGGTACTGGCTTTACATTTTTACTATGAAGCTATTTAGAGACTGAAACACATTTTCATGAACAAAAAGTAAAATTCTGATCACGCACTGCCCTTTAAGAAAAACTGTGGTAAAATACATATAACACTATATAGTTAACATCTTAAACATTTTAGTGTCCATTTCAGTGGCATTAAGCACATTCACATTGCTGCGCAACCATCACCACCATCCACCTCCAGGACTCTTTTCATCTTGTGAAACAGAAACTCTGTCCCCATTAAACACTGCCTCCCCCTCTGCCTCCCCCAGACCCTGATAACCACAGTCCTACTTTGTCTCCAGGAATCTGACTCCCCTACGGACCTCATGTAGGTGGAATCACACAGTACTGACTTCTTCGGTCTGGCTTATTTCACTCAGCATATTATGTTCCGGGTTCACCCATGTAAGAGAGTATGGGCCAGATTTCTTTCCTTTTTAAGAGTGAATAATATTCCATTATATGGATGGACCACATTCTGTTTATCTGGTCATTTGCTGATGGACACTGGGGCTACGTCCACCTTTTGGCAACTGTGAATGGTGCCAAACGTGGGTGAACATGGGTGTATGACCATCTGTTCAAGTTCCTGCTTTCAATTCTTTCATGTGTCTACCAGAAGTGAACTGCTGGGTCATAAGGTAATTCTGTCTAATTTTTCAGGACCTGCCATAGCGTCTGTACCATTTAACATTCCCACCAACAGTGCACAGGGTTCCACTTTCTCCACAAAGGATACTGCCTTTGATCATCCCCGGCTCACACTCATAATCCCACTCGATTTTACTAATTCGGCGATAAAGTTGAGCCACATACCTATGCAAGAAGACAAGAGAGAGAAAAGGAAGTTACTCCAGCACCAACTCCAGCAAAGAGCTGCAGGCTGTACACACACACACTCACACCGCGTCGGTGGACCTACACGGCTGAAGGGATGGTGACTGTAGTGTCTTCATCAACCTCCCTCTCCTGTCTTTCAAGATCGGCCTCGATCTCCTTGAGCTCCTCCAACTCTCTGCTGAGCTGAGTAAGGCAGGCAGTTAAGGACCCCTTGCTTTGGAAGGAGGGCTGGGCTGCCCACATGCTAACACCAACCACCTCGGGGCCGGGGCCGCTGGCTCCAAGCACCTCCCAGGCAAGGCTGGGGCCCGGTGGTTCCGCAAATGCAGGAAAGGATATAGGAGGCTGGCCTTCAAACGGGTGTCCTCCTCGCTGGCCCTCTGAAGCTCAGCTTCAAGCTGCTGCAGCTCGGTGCCACCCTGGTGCGCCTGCTCCTTTGCGTCAAGAAGGCTCTGGGCCACCTCTTTCTCCGCAGCAAGGATCTCTGCAGGATGGGGAGAAGTCTGTGCCCCTCAACTCGGGCTCCTAAGGAGAGCCTCGGACAGAGGCGGTTCATCTGCCTGTGGCCTCATCGCCCATCTATGGCCATGTTCTCACTTCTATCTGTAGCTCCCGAACCCATCACCCTATTTCCAAATGCCCACCAAAGGCACCCCCCTGGACCTGGTGTAAGTGCTTCCTATTTCACCAAATCACACTTGAATCCACCCAAAATAATAAAGTCTGGTCCTTCTTTGCATACGTCTTAATTTATGATGCCACGCTCGACTCTGTTGCCTGAGCAACCAGCCCGGGGCTCACTATCCACATCCAGTTAACCATCCTGCCTGGTGGGTCCCTCCTGCCTTGTGCAGGTCCTTTATCCCTCCAGGACCACCCAGCTGCCTCCCTGTCGTGCCCCTCCATGGTCTCTACAGTTGCCAGTCCTTTCTGCTATCTGTCTTCAGAGCTGCTGCATTAGAGCCAAATGTTGAATTACTCCCCTGCTCAGAGACCTCCCAAAGCTCCCCAGTGCCTCCAGGATAAGGTCCAGGTCTCTTTGGGCACCTTCACCATCCCTGCCAACCTCCCTTCTCCCAGCTTTTCGCCCCACCAGGTGCTTTTCCCTCCACTCTGGCTGCAAAAATGCTTCATCATTCTGCAAACATGCCACATTTTTCAATCCTGGGCCTCTGTCTGCTTGTCCTCCAAGGATGCCCCTGTGTCCCTGCTCATGGGGTACACCCATTCCCGGCCTTCAAGGCCTCCTGGGTAAAGCCCGACACTCTCCTCTCTTTCCTGGGGTGAGACTGTGCTTCCAGGACAGCCTCTATCACCCCAAACTATTTATTCCTTGTCTTTCTTCTTCGAAGCAGAGATTGCATCTTAAATTCACCACATTATTGCCAGCACCTACATAGAATAAATACATTTTGAATAAAACATCCAAAAGGATCAAAAACACCTGAAGGAGGTTGCTGTGTTCCTGCCCACAGAGTCAGAGAAACCTGCCAACTCAGAAAAGGCACAGATGAAAATGCTTCTCAAAGGGCCGCAGTTTAAGTGTTTATAAACTTTAAGTTAAATTTTAGTCAAAGTATTACATGTATATGGTTACGAAAATTTAAACACACACACACACTTGCACACACCCCTCTCTAAGTCTCTCCATCCTCTGAAGCAGCCACTTTCAACTCTTCACTGTTTTCTCTGGCACCGACCTTCATATTTCTAAATAATTTGCTTATGCTGCTATTTCTTGATTTGTCTGAGTTGGATGGTGCCTGCTGATTTCCTGTTAGGAGAGCTGAGGGCCTGGCTTTTCTTACGCAGCCTTTCTGCCCTTTCTCTACTCACCCTCCAAACAGCAACTGAGTCTCCTTGGACCCTCCCTGGGGGTGAGCTCTTCCCCATGGATATTCGTTATAAGCCGTCTTCACCGGAGTGTGTGCTAAGTGCCACGAGCGACCGGGAGCCCTAACCCCTGACGCACTTTGAGAGGCGACGAGCAGATGCCCAAAGAGGTTCAGTGACTTGTCTACAGCACCTAGCTCCGAAGCCGGGATCTGAACTCGATCCTTTTGATGCAAGCCCCAGCTCCCAGGAACACAGACTGTTGTCTCCTTGCCCCGAATCCATCTGTTCTGCTGAAATCCAGACAGGCTGGGCTATGCTGATCTCCCCAACTATCAATGGAGGGGGAATTAATGGAGGGGGAGAGGAGGAAAGAAACAAGAGGGAAGGAGGGAGGAGGGGGAGGAAAGAGCAGAAGACTCAGACCAGGGCATCCGTCATGCTTAGACTAACATCCAAACTTCTGGGGACTCACAGGTCTGGCAGGGTCTGGTTGTTGCCAACCCCAGCTTCTACTACTTTCTCTTGGGTCTCCAGGCTCCTTCTCACCTGACCTTTGTCTTTGCAGTTCCCTCTGCCAGGAACTCTCCTCCCCAGTCATCCAATGGCTAGCTCCTAGGCCATTCAAGTCTCAACCCAAACGGCACTCATAAAGTATAACTGTAAAAAGGCATTACAGCTGCCTGGCACTGAAACTGCGGTGGAAAACTAAATGACAGTTCCTCAAGAAATTAAATATCAAATTACCATCTGATCCAGCATTTCCACTTCTGGTAAAATACAAAAAAGAATTGACAGCAGGGACTCAAAGAGATATTTGTACATTCATGTTCATAGCAGCATTATTCACAATAGCCAAGGGGTGGAAGCAACCCAAGTGTCCACTGACGGATGAATGGATAAACAAAATGTGGTGAGTCCGTACAATGGAATACTGGAGAAGAATGGTGGTGATGGTTGCAGAACATTGTGAATGTACTTCATGCTACTGAACATTTAAAAAGAGTGAAAATGGTAAATCCTACATTATGTCAATTTTATCACAATAAAAACAAGTTCCTAGCCTTAAAAAAAAAACCCTTAAGCTGAGAAAAGCTGTAACAAGGGCCCCGCCTTTCTTCAAAGGCAGTGTTGTGCAAGGATCAACGTCCACAAATCTCACTTTGATCCATCAAGAGGTGCTATCAGCAGCCCCATTTCACAGATGAGGAAACTGAGGCTTGAGAAGGAAGCCACTGGGCTGGGACCACAGGGCTCATGAGTTAACAGCTGAAATCCTTAGCCCACCACTTTCTGACATTCATTTCTCTTGTTTATCTTCAGTCCTTGCCCCACCAGCATATCAGCTTCTCCCACCAAGGGATTATTGTCTGTTTTGTTCCCTGCTGTCACCCCGGGGCAGACACTGCCTAGACACAGCAGGTGCTCAATAAAACATCTGAACAACCTCAGCAGGAAGATGCAGACTATTGTTACAATTTTATGGGAAACAGAGGCACTGAGAGGTTAAGTAAATCACCTCAAATCTCACAGCTGGGAAGTGGGGGTACTGGGTTTCCAATCCCGTGCTTTGAGGACACATGAATCCCAATTCAAACGCCAAGTCCCCCAGCTCCTGCTCACAGAGCGCTCAGAACTGGGCCGGATCTGCGAGATCCTATATTCACTACTAAACCCCAGGAGGGTGAACTGCTGTCCTGAAGTCCATCACGAATGGCTCATTCGCCGGTCCCACGAGTTAACAGGATAGGGAATGGGGGCACACAAGAGGCCAGTTTCGCGGCCTGCCAGGCCGCCCCTCCCACCACACGGGCCCCGGCCGCGCCCACCCCGGCCTTCACCTCGCAGCCGCTGGTCCGCGCCGTCTTGCGTCTCCAGCAGCCGCTCCACCACCTGC